TCTAGGGGATGTACTAGATGTAATGGGAAACATGTGATTTATACATTATTTTTCTATTTGAACCCATAAATGTACATCTTGAAAGACAAAAGGCTTTAATTCTGACCCTGGACATAACCCTACCCCCATGCAAGGATCGGGCAATAATTGCGACCTGTATATAATACCCTAAAACATAGTGTTGCGGGGTGTAGAATAACTATACGAAATGTACAATTCAAAATTGTAAGTCAAATTAAAAATAAAAAAAATCACATGAGATAAAAATTTAACAAAAAATTCACTTTTTTCTTGTCATATTTTTATGATATTTTCTTAAATTTAATTCTTTTCTGGCAAGAGACCATTCCGAATTCCGAATTGTACCTACTTTGCTTTGTATCCCATACCTTGGCTGTCAGCATTACTGTAATGGTCAGAGGTGCCTTTTTAATGTATTTGTGATTTGACCGGGATTAAAAATATTCTTATTTTCCGACATAAAAATTAAAGTTTATTTTACCCGCTAAATAATTTCCATTGACCTTCCGAATTGGTAGGCTTCAGCCCAAAACTCTAACTCCATGCAAAAATCCGCGTCAATAGGTTTATAATTGTGGCCTGTGGAGCAACAGAAAAATAAGGAAAATCTTCTGTTTTTGGTCCATTTCCACCCCTTAATATTTTGCGATTATCTCCAAAAACTATAGGCGTCTATTCTGACCCTAATCCCACCTCTATTTTCAACTTCTTGAGTATCGGGCCATAATTGCGACATGATTACAAAATAACATGGCAAGACGGACGGACATACATAGCTAGATCGTTTCGGTATTTTGATGATTTCAGCAACACTGTTCACCGGAATCGTTTCAAATTTCGTATGTTCAGAAAATTCTAATGGGTACTAAATCCTATGGAAAAAATTTGTATACAGGTTCAGATCTTCGTATAGCCCCCATATACTGGTACCCCCCGATATTCGGTATTTTCATGATTTTGGTGACATTATTTACCGGAATTATTTCGAATTTCGTATTTGAAGTTAGTAATGGGTACAGCCTATAACAAACAGTTGTATATGCAGGTTCACATCTTCGTATAGCCCCATATAATGGTACCTCCCTATAATTCCGTGTTTTCATGATTTCAGCAACATTTTTTACCGGAATCGTTACAAGTATTGAAAGATCTTAATGGGTGCTACAACTTATGAAAAAAAAGTTCTTATGCAGTTCCACGCCTTCGTATACCCTCCATATGACGGTACCTCCCGATACTCCGTATTTTCATGATTTTTGCGACATTATTCACCGTAATTGTAACAAATTTCGTATTTCAAGTTCGAAATGGACAGCCTATGACAAGAAAATTTCGTATGCAGGTCCACGTCCATATAACGGTTTTCATTTAAGTGGTAGTTTTCGGATTCTTTTTTTTTGAAATTTTTCAATTTCCTTCGAAATGGTGGAGGGTATTAAAAGTTAGGCCCTGCCGTATTGAGCTGCTTTTTTACTTGTTCCACCTTGCACCTGGCTTCGAAAAATAATTTTTAAAAGTATTTCTTTAAGGCCTTTTGAACACTGATATTTAACAAATTACTGTTGGTCTGCGACAATTCCATGCACCTTTGCTTCCTTCTCGTCCATGTTAAATGAGGCTCGTATCACAAATTATGAATCCAATTTGAAACCAGCGATTATATTTCTCTTGGATTTGTTTATTTCATTGAATTTTATAGAATCAAACAGAATGTTCAACTTGGTGCCTAATTACTTACTGTGCCTGAATGTGTCAGAATGTTGAATGAAAAAATAACAAAACGTTTTTCTTTCGTTCAACAAAATAAACAAATACATTTTTTATAGTCTCGCATTTCATATAAACAAACTTTTTCAAATAAAGACACTCAGCATTTGGGTTGGATTTTCTGAAACTCACTCGAAATACTCTGTTTCCATCACCGAATAAGTACTCAAACAACCAACCAACTCCAATGAGGAACTATTACACTGGCTCTCTTTCTCTTGTACTCACAAACTCAACCCCTCAGCAAATGCTCTTTTGAAGACATAACAACCGAAATTGTGAGAGGATAGAGGGTGGTTATGTACCGGAAATGCACTTAACAATTTCGAAACAACAACAGACCACAGTTATGTTGCAATACCCGTTTAACATATGTACTTCGCTACATAAAAAGTGAGAGAGAGTGAGAGGAAGAGAGTGGGGGAACATAATAAACTTGATGATGGCATTGGTTGCGGTGATAGTTGTGGATGCCTTTTTGGGATAAATGAAACTGTTACATGGAACGAGAAATGAAATGAAAATAACCTTGAACTACTTTCGGCCAGGAATCTACAATGAATATTGACTACTAGACGTGGCTTAACGATGTTTATATACCTAAGTATGTACTCAGTCTCTTCCCTCTTTATGACGTCTGAAATAAACAATTTTACAAAATAATGTGTGTTCATGTTTCAAGGAGCGATGAAAAAACGAAGAGTGCAAATATTTGCAATGTGCTTGGAAAGACTTCAACCGACACTCAATGTTGCTCTTGTTCTACTTAGGTTTTTGTTTGACATTTCCGTTGGTGTTTTGACAGTTTCCTTCTTTTGTTGTTCGAATAATTCCCGTTAAGTTATTTGTATGAGAATGAGTGTGTGTGAGTGTGCGTGCGAGAGAGTGTTTGTTTTGTTTTTGTTTGACAAAACCAAGGTTGTTTCTTAGACAGTTGATTTACATGACATGTAATTAGGTGCGTCTGCAATACTAGGGTGGTTTAAGAATATTTTTTGAACAGAGGTGAGCAAATCGTCAAAAGAGATTTTATTAGATAATATTTCATTCATTTAGTTAAAATTTTGAAGCATGGATTAAGTTATTTAAAAAACAAATTATTTAAAGAAATAACAAATTTAAGAGAAATCAGAATTTGTTGATCATGTTCATTGTTTCAGAAACGTATAGTATACTTTTAGGCAGGAAGAACTTTAAGCAGAGAATAACAAGTCTATATGAGAACTAAAAGTTTTGTAAGTTCGGCCGGGCCGAACTTTGAATACCCTCCACCATTTGGAACGTATTTGGCAATTTTCAAAAAAGTAAAATCCGTTAAAAATATTTGTTGAAATCTTAAAAATACCGATATATTAGGACCTGTGTAGTCAACTTTTGACATAAGCCATTACAACATTCAAATGCGAAACTTGAAAAAAAAAATCGGTGAATAATGTAGCCATTATATGGGAGCTATACCAAAACGTGGACCTGCATAGATAATTTTTTGTCACAGGCTGTAGTATCCATTACGAACTTCAAATACGAAATTTGAAAAAATTTCGGAGAATAATGTAGTATATATATAAGAGTACCTCCTTATATTCGGTATTTTGATACTTTTAGATAAGGAGGTACTCTTATATGGGGGCTATACGAAGACCCATTTTCAATACCAAAAGTTCTGCACACATAATATACATTTGAGTAAAATTTTTTCAACCTACTTAATTTCGTTCGGAAGCTAGAGTGAATTCCACATACGGATGGACGGACATTGCTAAATCGACGTAGAATTTTATACTTATCAAGAATATATATATATATATATATATATATATATATATATATATATATATATATATATATATATATATATGGGTTCTAAAATGAATATTTCGGGGTGTAACAAACGGAATGACGAACTTAATATACCCTCCGTACTATGGTAGAGGGTATAAACAATAATAATGGGATTAAGCCTGAATGTGTTGCAACAACAAAATACTACGGTAATTCGAACAAACATGCCAACATTCTTCTAAAAATAAAATATATAAAAAAGTACGAAATATCGGAAAGCCAAAACTTTTGATATTAAGGGAGATGGGACGTCCCCTGGCTACATAGGTAATGCTCTCCATACCTGGAAGAATCTGCCTTATTCTTAATTTTACAAAGAAATCTTTCGCCGTATTCTACAGATCTTCAAGACCTTTCGTGATAGACACATCTTCCAGTGAGAGTTTGCAATTAATTCGCCTCGATAAAAGACAAATCTCCCTGTTACTAAACTTTGGATCCCTATATATAAAGTATAAAAGATCTTTCACAGGAACTTAGCTCTAATATGTGATGGCCTCTTTTCAAATTATTGTCAATGTAGTTGAATTACTGCTTGTGAAATGATCTTTTTAATTAGGGAAGTAAAACGAAATTTTAAGATGTGACTCTCTTTCGCTATAACTATGTCATATTTCATAGATTCTGTGCTTCATTTTCAAAGATTCCCTTTTTAATGCAATGAAATATACTTTCCCATCACTGTCTTATATGTATTTATTCTTTTCTGACAATTACAAATTAAAGGTTGCCTTTGTAAAAAAACGCACTAAGGGATTTGGGGTTGATAATCCATTCAGGAATTAGTTTACAAATGTAGACAACAAACCGCTTACAACCACTTTTCCACATTTCCCTTTTCATAACACCCTCTTTTTTAGTTGTAATGTAAAAAACGGCCGAGATGCAAAAGAAAAACAATGCGTGCCCCTAATGATGCCGAAGTTCATGCGAATGTGTTTTTGTACAAAGAAAATCTTCTTCTTGTTCTCAATGCAATTCTCTAACGTGTTGTGGGTGGGTGGGTGTTTGGTTAGTTGTTGTTCTTCATTTAATACAGTAGCATATAGTTGAGAACATATTACGAGTAAATTGAGGGAGAACATGTTCAACATTGGCAATTGACAATAGATATGGAAAGAGAGAGAGAGAACAGAGAGTATGTGTATTTTTCCCCAACTCAAATTGAGGGATGCAAAGAGCGAGCTCTAGGAAAACAGCTGTTTTTAATGCGGGAATAACAAGAACTAAATGACACTGGTTAATGCCAAACGAATAGAAAACCAAGGAGATAATAGACGTCAGTCAATGCTATTTGGTTGTTTCTTTTCTGTCGCAAAGAAAGAAAAGCAAGGATTTGGGAGTTCTTTTTCGGGGCTTCTAATAGTTACCTTGATATTTTCTATGTAACTGGAGTTGTTCGAAGGAAACCAGTCTCGTCAGTTAATGAATGGAGAGATGTTGGTTGGCTGCTACTGCTTGCTCTTGGTTAATTAGGTTTTTTGTATCGTTGTTATTTTTCTTAAACGATTTTTTTTTCTGAAATGATTAAAAAATCCGAATATAACACTATTATGAAATTGTATATTATTTCAAACATTTATTTTTATTTATTTTACATCACTTTCTGCTTTGGTTTTTTGGCTTTGTTGCTAGATAGGTATTTTCGTTGTAATATTTAGCTTTCTTAATTTACGGTGGGTGTCAATGAAAGTACACACAGCAAGTATATGTGGAGGAAAAAAATTGCAATTGTTCATGTTCTAAATTGGAAATTCGCGATTTTCAATATCTGTTGTAAATTTGAAAGGTAAACTAAAATCTAACAGTTGATTAACGCTTTTTTGCATAGTGATAGACATTTCCATCGCAAGTTCGCCTAGTTCATCGTATTAGGAAATCTGATTAATAAGTATTGCATTAAAAATACTATGGTCAAAAATAAGCATTTGACGGTAAAACAAGGTAAATAGTATTAGCCGATTTATACCACCAGCCTTGAGTTATGATTATTCTAACTTTTGACCCTTCATGAAGAAGTTTCCGAAACTTTTGGAAAATGTGGAAAAATGCGTAAGGTACCAGATAAAGCGGACCGAAATATTCCGTTTTATCTAATACGGATAAAATATTGGTACCTGCAAAATTTAAAGGAAATCGAATATTTATATCCAATTTTATACGAAATTATATATTCCAATTAATAACATATTCATTTCGGATTTCTGACTAAGGGAAATATTTAGATATAGCAAGTTGTATAGAATCGCCGACTTGATTCGCAAGTTATGACAGATAGTAGTATTGGAAATCGTGACCCTTTGTAATTGAGATACCAGAATAGGTTGGCAGATACCTATCATTTTCGAAACAGCAAAAATGTTTGAATGTGTGAAATTTGAAGAGAGTTTATTTCGCGTTTTATGAGTGTTTTGTTTTTTAACACTTTGAAGCCTTTGTGGGGAAGTAACAGAAGGAGTCCGCCGATATATCCCATTTTAACAGCAGATCTTCTGTTGGTAAAAACAATAGCATGCGTGAAATTTGATGAGAACCGGATTTGGCTAAAATAATAAAAATACTGACTACCTTGTGGTACCGCTACATGGGAGCTATAGGATAGAGTGAACCTATATAGATAATGTTTTGTCACAGAAGATAGAACTAATTATGAATTCTAAATGCAGAATTTTAAACCATTCGCCCAACGTGGGACAATATTACCCAAGGAACTGCAGTTTCAGAACTTATTTACTGATTGGAAACAATCAAAAGATAGAAAAGGATTTTACGATTTAAAAAATTTTACAGCAAGAGAAAATTAAGGCCAGACTTCACCTTGTTAAATATGCCATGGCTAAGATCTATCGACAAATAATGTGGTTAACTTCTGTTTCACTTTTTACATGAAAATGTTGTTATTGGAATGTCACTGATTTTTGTCAGTAAGTCTAAAATGGATAGAGAATGACACAAATAAATTGTATGTAATTTGGTCCGGTTTCGGGTCTGTAACTGATCGAATGCTCACTGGCAAACTTTTTTATATTTGAATAGGTTTTGGTTTTATCCATTCAATGTTAAGCTTTAATTTTAGGCATATTTTCAAAACTATATGGAAATTTTGAAATTTTAATACACTATTTAATAACAGTTTACGATACTTTGCCAGTGGCATATTTTTATACAATCGATTTAAATAAAATTCTATACAGTCTAATCAAAAACCCGTTATATCGATTTACTATTTTTTTAAAAGAATACTTTATGTTAACCTTTCATTGACGTTCACTGTATGTATATTATTTGATGGCAACTTAACAAATCTGCCGTCGTAGGCAGCAGACATCAAAAATAATTATTTTTTGTTGTTGGTTTCTTTAAAACGTATATATGTATAATTTCTCACTAGCACTTTTGGTACCGTCATAGACTCTGGGTACAAGAAGATCCGACCGTAGAGACGTATGCGGTTATTTTTAAAATTGAAAACACAAAAAATTATACATAAACCCGGACAGACAGGACCATAAATATTTTCACTTGTTTCATCATTTGGCGTTTTGTTTTTTCGTCTTCTTCTTCTTCTCTTTATTTTATTTATTTTTTTTTTTTTTTGCTTTGTTGGGAGATTATTGCCCAATATTACGCGGTAATAGACAGAGGGAGGCTAGACAATGCGTTGGATGGACCTGCCGTTCTCTTCACCTTTTACCATGATGGGGATTGGCAGGTCACATTGGCAAATATTTTTCACAAAATAAAAAAAAAATTGTGGCTGAATGGAGGTTTTTTGGGCATTAACTTGTGCAAGTAATTTATTTATAATTATTTATTTAAAAAAAATATTAAATTGACACTTTTTTGCAAATTCAACTATTTTATCACACACTTTTTAAAAATGTATCACTTTTAGCCTTAAAAAGCCCGAGGAAGGTAGTAAATTCATGGATTCTTTTGCCTTCATTAAAATACCTGACTGTCTGTTGTAGTATCTTGAACGTTGCTCTTAATTTTCCCCTTTTTATTTGTTGTTGTTTTTTTGCTTCTTTAATATTTTCATGTATACACACATTCACATCAACATACATACAGCATATATTCAAAAGGGGCTGCTGAAGCTACTACAACGTTGACGACGACCACCACCACCACGAGCGTTATTCTTGCCGTTACCCTGTAGTATTTAGCGGTACTTTTTTGCTTCGCTTTACAAAATTCTGTTTTTCTGTTTACGAACCGTTTCTTTTGCAACCGTTCTCGTCTCAATGAGTTTGACAACTGACTAACCAAAACAGTTCCCAATCATATTTTGGCCTCCTCCGCGTGCTGTGTTCTCGTCGTTGTTGTTGTTGTCTTATTATGTTTTTGAGTGGAAAATTGCTCGGGCACTGCGATTGAGAATGGTGAAGGAAACAGCCAAACTAACAGGAAGAAATATTGGCAAGATTGAAATGTGAGAATTTGTCAAAATAAGGCACCAGAGAGCGAGAGAGAAACTAAGAATTGTTTATAGCGGTAAAAATAGCGCATGTCAGCAGAAATGCCTCAATACTAACGGACACACATGCTTCTATGCTATTTGATGTCGTTACGATACGAATAAACACAGGGTGTCTATGAAGAAACATGTATTCATATTACCGTTATGACTATCTTTTAAAAAGTGAAATATCTTTTAAGGGTTTCTTAGACAAAGTAATTTCGTGTAGCATGAAATACGTATTATTTTTCGTCTATTATTGAATTAAAAGGATACCGGGCAACACATCAAATCAATCTTTCTTTTATTGCTAATATTTGTATTTTATTGCTATTTTCCTTTTTATTATTAATAAAACTTTTAAAATTGGTGTTGCACGTTAAGTTCGTAATGCAGGTCCACGTCTTCGTATAGCCCCCATATAACGGTACCTCCCGATATTCGGTATTTTGAAGAGTTTAGGTACAATACCCACCGAAATTGTTTGAGATGTCGTATATGAAGTTCGAAATGGATGCTACAGCCTATGACAGAAAATTGTCTATGCTGGTCCAGGTCTTCGCACAGCTCCGATATAACGGTACCTCCCTATATACGATATTTTGATGATTTTAGCTACATTATTCACCGTTTACTTCAAGTTTCGAATTTGAATAAGATAATGACTTATGACAAACAATGCCTATGTAGGTCTACGTAGTATTGGCACCAAAACAACGGCTATATTCGGCATTGTTAATATTTTAACAGAATTTTTTAGGCATTTTATTTCCAAATTCGTTCCAAATGTTGGAGGGTATTCAAAGTTCGGTCCGGCCGAACTTACTGCTTTCTTACTTGTTATATTTTGTTGTTGTATGAACCCCACCTTATTTCAATAACTAATTGAACGCATAATGAATTGGCTGTCGGCAAAGTCGATCATAATCAAGCGTTAAACATTTATAATATCTTATCTAAGGGGGAAAATCGCCGGCATATAACAATACGGAGCGGAAACAGCAGAAATTTTCTTTAGTTGCTCTCCAAACATTGCCTGCAATTTATCAAAGCGAACACAAAGGATGATTCGCAAATTCTTTGGGTTGCTTATCCTATGGCATTCTCTCAAAAGTGTAAGGGGTGATAGCCACCCACTCGTAAAAGGAGATGTTGGCGTTAGTGCGGAACTTCTGGAATATACCCACGTGGCATTAAACTTAACAAAGCTCTACATAAGTAGCCACACCAACGCTTTGGTCATAATGGAGAAATGTTCCGGCTTAGTTTGCCGAAGGCAAACACTAAATCATGATTTCCTTTTGGAGTACTTTTTAAGAAATCTCAGTTGTGATATCAGTGTCCAGTTGGAATTTGGAAGACCGGATGTAAGGCCATGGGATTATAATCTCTTTGTCATTGATTCTGCCAAGGCATTTGAGTAAGGGCGTTTCCGAAACAAATGAAACTATATATGAAAATATTATTTTTTTCCCAACAGGGCTCTGCGTCTTCAACTGCCGGGACCGTCAAAGAATCGCCAATTTTATTTCTTCATTCTACTTACCTGCTCCTCGGCACATCCCACCTATGTCAAGCAACAAATGTATAAAATATTTAAAGCTTGTCTACAAATCGGTGTTAAAAATGCCGTCATTATGCATCGCTATTCCGCTGGAGCGTACATCAGCTTCTACACCTACTATGCCTTTGGTCGTTTCCATTGTTGGGACGACATAACCATACGAGAAATAAATCGCTTCGAAAATGGTAGCTTAAGTGGAAATTATTTATTTCCCAAACAATTGCGAAACTATCACGGCTGTACGATAATGGTGAGCGCTCATCTGATGGCACCGTTACTTAGCTTCAACGGGGATTTTACCAATGAGCAGCATTTGCGTGATAAGTCACGAATTGCCGGCATTGAAGGAGATATTTTGAAAACGGTAGCCGATACACTGAATATGAATTTGAAATTTCGTTTTCCCCTGAATTTGAATAAGAAGTTCATGTTTTCGAATAGGACGGATTCTCTTGTGGATGTAAGTATTGTGCAATAGACGGATGTGCAACTGTTGTTTTTTAGATACATACATAATAAATACTTTTTATTATACCCTATAACCCTGTGTTTGGGGTATAACACCTTGAAATAGTGGTCCCCAAAATAGGGTGTTATTTATGGATCTTTATATTTCCCCAAGCTGAGTCGATCTAGCTATATGTGTCCGTCCGCCCGTCTATGTCAAATTGTAATCCCACCACAAGTCGCAAGGGGAAAAGAATAAAATTTAGAAAAATCGCATAAAAATATGCTAATAAAAATGTGAATATTTTTCTGTAATACATGTATACCCTCCACCTTGAAAGGGAGGGTGTACTAATTTTGTCATTCCGTTTGAAACATTCCTGAATATTCTTCGTAGAAGTATAAATATTCATGATCACCATAAAATAATACGTCGATTTAACAATGTCCGCCTGTCTGTCGAAATCTCGATACAGCCCTATCATTTGACCTAAAGCTTCAATATTTGTATGGTTAGTATTGAAAATGAGATATATCGGTTCACGTTTTGACGGTACCTCCCGATATTCGGTATTTTGATGATTTTTGCCACTTTCTTCCAGGAATTTGTCTAAAAATTGGTATTTCTATTACTTAATATGTTCTAGCTCCTGTGGGGGACCATTGTATGTAAACGTGAACCTAGTTTTCGTATAGCCGCCATAAAACGGTACCTTCCAATATACGGTACTTTGATTATTTTTGCAACATTTTTTCACGGATTTTTCTAAAAATTGGTATATGTAGGTCATATTAGGTTCTAGTTCCGGTGGCAGAACATTGTTTGTATAGATCCATATTTTCGTGTGGCCCCCATAATGGTACCTCCCGATATTTGGTATTTTGATCAGTTTTTCACATTATGCACGGATTCGTCTAAAAATTGGTATTTATAGTTCTTAATGGGTTTTCACTCCAGTGGCACAACATTGAATATCTAGGTCCACGTTTTCCTATGGCGGCTATATAACGGTACCTCCCGATATTCGGTATTTTGATTATTTTTGCCACATTTTTTCACGAATTTGTCTACAAATTGGTAGATGTAGGTCGTAATGGGTTTCAGCTCAACTGTATAGGTCCATGTTTTCGAATTGGCCACATATAACGGTACCTCCCGATATTCGGTATTTTGATGATTTTTGCCACATTTTTCAAGGATTTGTCAAGAAATTGGAAATTGCAGATCCATATTTTCGTATGGCCCCCATAATGGTACCTCCCGAAATTCGGTATTTTGATCATTTTTTCACATTATCCACGGATTCGTCTAAAAATTGGTATTTGTAGTTCTTAATGGGTTTTCACTCCAGTGGCAGAACATTGAATATCTAGGTCCACGTTTTCCTATAGACGGCATATAATGGTACCCACTGATATTCTGTATTTTGATAATGCTTATCAGATTGAACCACGGAATATTTTCATATTTGACATTTAAGACTTGCAATAGATAACAATCCTTGTAGTATAAAGTTGTCTAAAGTTGTCTCTTTGGTATGGCCCCCTATATAACTGACTCACTCACTTTGTTTTTTTATACCCTCAGTCATATGGCTACAGAGGGTATATATGATTTGATACGGCCAAAACGAACCTAGTTGAAATAACGGTTTTAGACCCTAGGTCTCTTTGAACCAAGGTCCGAAGTCCGTCCATCTGCCTGTCGGTCTGGCTGGTGCGCACGATAACTTTAGAAGGGAGTATCCGATTTGGTTCAAACTTGGTACATCGTAATATTTTTGTCAAACTTAAAGAAAAGATAATCCGATTTTGCTCCAACTTTGCAAATCCTAATGTTTACGCCAGTTCTTGGTTAGGTACGAAAATGGACAATATCGGTCCATCCCATTAAGTACCCCACAAAGGTTCAAAATTTTGAATAATTACAACTCTTATAAAATGTGATATAAGAATCCGATTGTCTTAAAATTTCACACATCCCAATATCTTTAAGATCTGGTGTTAAGATGGAATATATCAGCCCACTCTTTATGGTTGGTACCTGCCCCAAAAAGGTCGAAATTTTAAATATCCATTAAGCTCATAAAACGCAAAATTAACATCCGATTCCATTTAGACTTGGCACATCTGAATATTTCCATCAACACAGGGTCTGTTATAAAAGCGTTAGAGATCGACCATTCCTTCTGGTACCTCCCATGAAGATCATAAAACGAGAAAAAAAGCATCAGGTTCTCTTTATATTTCTCACATCCCATTATTTCTACTAACAGAAGATCTGCTGTGAAGATGGGATATATCAGGCCATTCCTTCTGGTACATCCCCTACAAAGGGTCAACAATTTTAATACCCATTAAGCTCAAAAATCGCGGAATCAACATCCGATTCCATTCAGACTTAGTACATCTCAATATTTCCATCAACACAAGATGTGTTATAAAGATGGGAGTTATTGGACCATTTCTTCAGGTACCTTCCCCACATAGGCTTCAAGATTTTGAAAAACCAAACGCTCTAAGAATGTGGAGATGATGTATATATCCTTCTGGTACCTCACCGACCAAGGCTCACAATTTTCAATTCTTTTATCTATTATAATTTACGAAACAATTCTGCGATTCCTTACATCTTGCTATATCTAAACCTTTCTCTCAACCAAAAACCTGAGATGAACATGGACTTTTACGAATTTGCATAAAATTGGACATAAAGGTTCGATTTTCTTGTAATTTTGGTCATACCAATATTTCTATATGCATTGGATGAAACATGAAAATGTAACACTTCTATCGACTATATC